ATAATAAAATAAGCATCGGCTTTCTACCACATCATAGAAATCTTGACAATAATTCTTTTGGACCATAAATAGAAACCTTTGCAACAATGAGTTCATTGTATATAACATGATTGATAAAAGCCAAAAAAAAAAAAAAAAAGGCATGAAATGAGTATTTCAATTAACTTTTTGATGAAATAGTATTAAAATATTCATTAAGGGACATTTGATAGAAAACCTTGTAAGCATTGATTAATGATCCTGGCCCGCAAACATTTGTCTATTTATAATTTGAACAAGGGTTACTTTGATATTGTGTTTGGGATATATATATATATTTTTATCATAAATATATCTAAAAAAATATAAAATTAATATTAATTTTAATATTAATATCAAGTGATTGAATCTAATTAAATAATTGATAAATTAAATATCAATAATTATTTTTTTAATATTAAATTATGACAAAAACATATATTTATTATATTTTTAAGATATAAGTTAGAAAAACCCTTTAAAAAATACTAAGTGTATTCTTTTTAATACTCTCATTTGAACACTTTTTATATAATTGAAACACATGTAACATAAATATTAAATAATTGATCGTAATTTCAAAATTTTAAAGTAATAATTTTATTTCAATTATTAATCACTAATTATATTAAATTTATGTTCCACATAATTAAATCACATAATAAATGCTCAAAAGAGAGCGATAGAGCAAGTGTTCTTAACACTTCTCTTATAATTTAATATATTTAACGCGAATCCAAAAAATAATTTAATATACTTTAACAAATAAGTAAAAGTGGCACAAAATTTACAAATTCTTAGAAGTTAACATCAAATAATAAATATTAATGTGCTGAGATGTCAGCTTCTATGGGCCAGAGATATCATATAGAAACCTCTGACATGGCATCCCCACATTAAAAGTCTTTTTGGTAATTTTTGCTATCATACAGAGAAAAGGAAAACACAATTTTTTTTTTTTTTAAACATGGGAAATTTTTAGGGGAAGGGAAATAATTTAGCTGTGATTGCAATGGATAAAACTCTTTGGCATTTGCCATGAATTTGATGCACCTTAACCAAGGTGGCTAGAGCCGCAGGTGCAAAAGAAAAACACAATTGGTTTTGTTATTTTAGAAATACTGCATACAGTGTTGTTTTAGCCTTTGCATTAATTTTAAATGTACACATATAAAATCAGTAGAAAAAAGCTATGGAGTATTTGAAGCTACTGACTAGAGCTTCACCTGCATGTTTTTTGTACTAGTATGCATCTATATGAACACAGTTTTGTAAACCCTAATGTTAAATATGTGAACAAGGTTTTGAAGACATTTTTTAAGGAAATTAGCTGCTTTTCTTAAGAGGTTTGGACTTCAAATTTCTTGCTAAATTAAGGTTTCTTAGTGAACATTATAATCTGGTCGATTAATTGGCTCTAGTGGGTATAGTTCTTTCTTACAAACTTTAAGTTAGAATCTTATGGCAATATGCAGAATAATTAGGGTTTCTTATCTTTAATTTGGAGTGAAATAATTATCATAGGATTCCATTTTTCTTTTCTTTCTTTTTTTTTCAATCACCAAATGAACCAATTTTATCCATATCAAGTTTTTTCATCACTGGATACCAGATATATTAGAAACAAGAGCAAAGTTAACTGTTGATTTATTATTTAATTAAATCCAAATATTTTAGATCTATCTTATATATATCTTAAAAAGGTTATATGTAATTAATATATATGATAAAAAGACTAAGAAGAACTCAGATCAGAAGCTAAAAAATTAAAAATTAATTGATTTATATAAAGTAATTACTAATAAGATTACCATAGTCAAGAGAAGTGCATGGCGGAGCTGGAGCCAGCTGATTCATCACTTCCCTTGCTTTGATTTGACTTCTTGTTGTTCTTCTTGTAAGGAATACCTCTTGCCTTAGCTTGACACTCCCTTACCTCTCTGAGATAAACACGGATTGCCCCATTGGCGAAAGGATTAGTCGCTGGCGATCCTCCATTCTCTTCGTACGCAGCTCGAAGCCTCCCGATGAGAGAATCAAGGCTGCCCCACGCCTGCCGGAGAGGGCAGGTGCAAGGGGCAGGCGGCTCTGGCAGACCATAGAACATGCAGCCCTGGAGATGAACTTTAGTCTTCCCAAACTGATCAAGGGAACGAAGGAAGTCCAGGACATGGTTGTAGTTACACTGCGAAAGAGGAACCTGGGGCCTCTGGTTCTTCAAGTACAGTCCAAAAGAGTTCCAGTCCCTTCTTTTCTGGGACTCGTATCGGCTCAGTGGCTGCTGCCGTTGATCATTTCCGGGAATATTAGTATTCCTAAACGATCCTTCTGCTCTTTCAGTGGACATGATGTCTTTGTGATGATTTTGTGAAGATCGAAAAAAAGTTTTGCTAAATAAGGCAAGCAATGGGAGAAAAGTGGAAAAGAATAGGGAAGGGAAGAGTGGAGATGATGAAGTTCACATCATATGGGGTATGCTCAGTGACATCTCATGGGCCACAGCCAGTTGCTTTGTGTTACTCCTCTTAGTTTTCTTCATCTTTGCAATTACAAGCGCACAGGTGCTTTGTTGTGATAATGAATTAATTTTAATATTTAATTAAAAGCACTATATACTTGCTTGGATGACAGTGCAATTATTTTGAATGAAGAGAAAACTCCTCTTCTTAATTTTTGTAAGGGAAAATGATTTTAGGGATAATTTTGTTTACATTTTTTCATATAATTTTATATGTATTTAATAATTAATTTTTTTATCTTATAAAAACATGTAATACTATATGTATTTATTAATTTAATAATATATGAAAGTTGTAAATAAAGTTTACATACAATCTCTCCATTTTTTAGGCTAAAGTTTGGTGTTAATAATAAAGGTGAGAGTTTTACCCTTTTTGTTTGCACGGTAGATTATGTTGTACTACATAAGTTTTGTTGACGTGGATTTCCATTAGTTAAATTAGCAAAAAAGTGATGGGTAGAGTATGTTGGTACGATTTTTAAAGTTACCATTTTGGGAGAAAATAAACTTTCTAAACTTTTAGTAATAACTAAATTAAAATTATTTACATGATAAAATTTTATAATTCTAAAATATGTAGAAATTTTAACCAATACTTTTCACTCCATGAGATAGGTGAATCAGTATATATCTACTTATTTAATTAATTTTATGTGGCTATTGCAGGATTCTATTTTAGAAAAATATTTTATACAAATCAACCTAATTCAAAATTAAGCAGCTAGGAACTTTTGAAGAAAGTTAAAAAAACCTCCTATGTGCGTCTAGGGTTTAGAGATGGCTACACATCTCTTTCTCTATATTCCTCTCCTATCTAGAGGCCTCTCTCTATCTCAATTTTTTTTTTTTTTTATCATTTTTTAGCTAGTATTTGTCTTTTGGTTAACTATCTATAAGGTGACTTGCAAGTGAGAAATTAGGTAGCTCCTTGATTGAGTAATAAACCCTAGGGTTTAGCTCATGTGGTTTGGTTTGGCAAGTTGAGGCATTGTTCACATCTTTGTTTGGTGATTGGGGTGCTCATTGTCCTAGTAATCGGTCATTTCAGAGGTTAGCACAGGTCACTGCAATGTAGAAGGTAAGGCAAATAATGTCTGGGTGATCTATTGTTATGGCTAAGGAAGATTGAGGATCCATTTTGAGGAAAGTCTAGCTATTTGAGGAGGAGGGAAGGGTGATTTTGTTGATGGATGCATTGAATTTGGTTCCTAGAACCAAGGATAACCTCTATTTGTGGGGAAGATTTTATTGAGAAAGAAATGATTTGCAGCAATTGAAATGATTTGCAAGATTTTTAACTAAACCATTTTTGTTGGGCATCTATTTCACCAATCTTCAAGAGCTCTAATGTGGAAAAGAACTTTGGTGAACTATGTTGGGTTTCATCTACTTAGATTTGTCATTCTTTGATTTGATCAAAGCATGTACTATTATCCTTGTATAGTAAGAAGGCCAAACTTCTTGCAATTCTTGTGAAGTTGCTTGCTTTTTGAATATGTTGAGTCAAAGATCTGCTCAACAAAGATCTTAGCCATATGCTTTCTTGACTAGTTTGACTAGTCTCAAAACTGTGATCATTCCTCAATGGTTTTAGGATATGGCCACCACTATTTGTTTGGTTGAACATTGAGAACATGTAAAACCACCAAACGTGAATGATAGAGACAAAACGAAGGAGAACTATTTGAAAAAAAGTTTGTTGTTCTCTTGAGTAATATTGTCTGCATAATGACTTAGATATAGATTTTTACAAAAAGAATATTCTAAGGGATAGAATATTTATAATAAATATGAATAGTGTGAATAGTTGATTGTCAATTTTTGTGTCATATCTTAACATCCCCTTCAGACTCAAGGTGTTTGTGATGAAACCAACTTGATTTTGGAAAGAAAAATACAAAAGCAATTAGGAAAATGAACCTCGGTGAAAAGATCTATTAATTGATCAGCAAAATCAATGAAAACCAAATGAACAATTCCTTGTGCAACATGATGGTGAATAAAGTGGTAGTTGACCTTATTGTGCTTAGGGTGTTCATGGAATATATCATAGTAAGCAATTTGCATGACACTTTGATTATCACAATAGAGATCAGTAGTAAGCAATTGAGGAACACCCAAATCTTAAAGTAACCAACTTAAATTAAGTAACTTTGATGTTGTGTCTCTATGTGCTCAATACTCAAGCTTTGTGCTGGAGCAAAATGGAATTGTTTGCTTCTTGCAACATTAAGAAATTAAGGAATCACCAAGAAAAAGATAACAACTAGTAATGGATTTGCAATCATTAAGGCTCCAACAAATAGGGAGGGAGGGGGGCACTGAATGGATTGGATTAGGAACGGTGCAGGAGCTAGCTCTTCTTGGTGGAGAGATGTTAGAGGGATTACTAAAGTAGAGGGGGAAAATATAGGGTGGTTAACAGAGGGCTTTAGACTAAAGTTAGGAGAAGGGAAGGACGTGAGCTTTTGGTGGGATGAGTGGTGTGGGGAGAATTGTCTAGCTAACAAATTCCTGAGATTGTATCTCTTATCTGCAGGTAAGGAGAAATAATGCTACCAAATGGGAACTATGTGCAATGGAACTTCGAAATGGAATCTTACATGGAGAAGGAAGCTGCTCGAAAGGGAAGAAGAGGCTGCAATGGAACTCAGTACGTTGATAAAGGGCGTGAAGATATCTCCTGGGCGGCATGATGAATGGGAGTGGATACATAGCAAGGATTCCCATTACTCAACCATAATAGCGTACTCACTCTTGACAAAGGTGCCGAGGTGTCCGACTCAAGAAAAAGTCTTCAGGAGAGTATGGAATCCCAACCTGCCAAACAAGATCTCTGCATTCAACTGGCAACTGCTGCTCAATAGACTTCCAACCAAATCCAACTTGCTGAAAAGAGGATTTGGCATAATCATGGGTGATGGCAAATGCAACCTGTGTCAAGAAGAGGAAGAAGACGCAACCCACCTGTTTCTGAAATGCAAAACAGTAAGATGG